GCGATGTAATAATTATACCTTCACCATATGAATCATATTGTGGCCTTCCAGCCCTACCTAACATTTGAAGAACATCTTGAGGAGATAATTCTACCCAGCGACCTTTCTCTGGAGAATAAATTTGAGTTCCTTTAATAATAACAGCATGTGCAGGGAGATTAACACCCCATGCTAAAGTGGATGTGCTAACTAAAACTTGAATATGACCAGCTGCAAAAAGTTCTTCAGCAGACCTTCGATCAGCTCGAGTCATGCCAGCATGATGAATACCAAGCCCATAAGGAAGGAGATCTTTTAAATTAGAATCATTAACTTCTTTTGCTTCTGACTGAAGAATTTCTTTTGTTGCAGCATCAGAACGTAAAATTTGTCCAATGGTTTCTTCTTCAAGGCATTTATCACGTATAAATTTTGCAGTCTTAGCTGTTTCTTTACGTGAATGGACAAAAATTAAAACTTGAAATTTCCTAGTTTGTTCGATTACTTTTTCATATGTTACATCATTAATAACTTGCAATTTTTTGATAGCCTTTTTTTCAGTAATCCCAATATATTCTTGTTTTAATGGACAAGGACGATATGAATTATCAAAATAAAATAGACCTTGTTTTAAATCTACTTTTAAAAATGTAGCAACATCCACATAGTTAGGAAGAGTAGCTGAAAGTCCTATTAAGCGAATAGGCTCGAATGTTTGTTCCATTTTTCGGATTGTTCGAGCGACAATAGCTTCTAAAACAGGACCTCGATCGTCATGAAGTAAATGAATTTCATCAATAATTATTAGACGAACCAGATTAGTATATGATGTTTCTGTAGCTTTTCTAGTAATGATATCCCATTTTTCAGGAGTAGTTACGATTATTTGAGTATAAGATATTTGGGCTTTAGTAAGCTGTGTATCTCCCGTCAATTCCTCCACCTGAATGTCATATTGAGATAACCTAGATCTAAAATTCCCAACAACTTCTTGTACAAGAGCTTTTAGTGGGGCGATATAGATAATTTTGAAATCATTTTTATTAATTTCGCCTGTAGATTCATTGCGATGCTTTTTTAATTCGTTTAAAATGCAAAGAATAGCCACATTTGTTTTTCCTGCACCTGTAGGCGCACAAATAAGTAAATTATCATCTTTTTCGAATGCCATAGGATACAGTTTGCTTTGAATAGGATTTAATTTCTCAGTATTACCAAAGACAGGACGAATCCATTCAGGCATATCAGATATTAAAACACTTTTTATATCTTTAACTACTGCTTTTTTTGGTGCTGGAACATGAACTTCTTCATAACCTTTTTTAGATCGTTTAAAAGAACCTTCTGGTAATTTACATTTTTTATTCGACATTAGATGAGAACCTTGGGAAAATATAAGTGAATCTAAATCAACAACTTTTTTAGGTATAACTTCGGATATTTGTGACATAGAAATATCCTTATGCGTATGTTTCTCTGTATCTTGAGGTAAATCAACATCCATCATGCTATGCTCATGTTTCTCTGAATACTTCAAAGGCAATGACTCTCTGTCCTCTTTAAGTTCTCGTAAAATCCATTCATAACCTTCTGATTTCATCTGGGCTTCAATTTTTTTTTTGTTCTCAACATCAATTGCTCGCAAGAGACGTGTACACCATACAATTGTATCTCGATTTCTAGTCAATATTTTCACAAGTTCGAATTTATCATAATCAAATAACTCCATAAGTTTATTTTCAAGTTGTCCAAATGAAATATCCGATTCCAAAAAAGAAATAGATGATGACGTTTTTTCCTGAATAATATATGGATCGGTATAATATGCAGAAATAGTTCGTTGTAACCAAAATGCATCGATTTGATGAGCAAAGATTTTTTCCTTATTTTCCTTATCAATGGAATGTTTATTTGTTTTTCCGTTAACAATAGTTATGTAATTTTCCGTATTTTCTTCGTCAGTACTTGCATTAGATTCTTCTTGATCATCTTCATCATCTTCATTTTCGCTATCTACATCATTTTCATCATCATCAAAAATAACTGCAACTCTTTGCTCATCAAGTTCATGATCATCATCCTCCATAATATTTCTAGATTCCTCAGAAGAATAATCCGTTATTTTTTTCCCGATAGCAATTAACTGGCTAAACCTTTCACTTGGTATATTTACACCAAGCAATTTATCAATTTCTTTTTTTTTATCATAATCTTTCAAATTTTCATCTTTTAAAAACTCTAAAACAGCATCACTAGCACTTCTTACTATATCATGACTTTGATCTCCAACAAATTCGTGAACATAAGCTAAAAGTGCTTCATATGTTTCACGAGTTTCTTTGGTTTTTGGATAATATATAAGACCCTCCAAATCTTCTGTATTATCTAATATAGAAGAATAAATACTTTTCTTTTTTAATGCTTTTTTTTTTTTATATTTCTGATCAAATTCATCATCTATTACCTGAGTTTCTTTTTTTATGGTATTTTCTGGTTGGGTATTTCTAGAAACACGAGATCCCATATCCTTTACACTAATTCGCCCTGAAAGTGACTCGGGCTCACCTGTTGCTTCATGATCCCGACGAGTAACAAATCTCTGATCAGCTTTACTGACTTTATTAGATATTTCAGAATATTTGTACTGGTCCATATTCTGGGCCGGTGGATGATATTTTGACGGCATGGCTTATATATAATATAAATAAAAACAATTATAAGCCTATTTAGAATATATTCAAGAGTTTATTTTCTAATTTAATTAATATAAATTTATTTTAATATGTTATGACTTTAAAAATTAATTTTCGAAGTTTTAAAAATAGGTTCCTTTGCCCTATAACGTAACTTAAAATTATTTTAAAGATTTGTTAATTTATATATGATATGCTATTGTTTTTCTTATATTTCTCCTGTTTTATTAAGATAATTAATATTTTTTCAATTATAATGAAAAAATTAGAAGTTTAAATAATATTTTTAGGATAATATAAGAAAAATTACATATTATTTTAATACTATATTATTTAATATCTTTAAATATAAATTAAGTGACCATTTTATTATAATTAGTATATCCTATGCCCTTACAACTTACTATTATTTCATTTCCACTGGGAATAAATCTCATTTCTACATTAAAAAATAATTTAATATCTCTTAAAAATGCTACTAAATGTTCATCAATTTTGCTCCCTATTTTTATACGTCCAACATCTTCCGATCCTAAAACCATTCCAAGAAGAACATATTTACATGCAATGTTATCAACACAACCTCCATTTTGGATTTGAGATAATAAAATTCTAGCACAACTAATACCTATATCTTCAGGAATATCTCCTGCTTCTCCCGACAATTCACTTGTATATAAAGATTCCGTATTTGACTCAGCAACAAGTGATAAAGAAAACCCTGGGGATTTTCCACATTCTCCTCCTTTTCGAACATCTATATATATATATATATCAGGAATAAATCTATTCAATACACTTCTTGCTGATTCAACAAGTCTATTAGCAATGGAAGGAGATACACATGTGGATGAAGCAATTCCACGAATACGTTTTATCCGTCCAGATGATAAAAGATGAATAGTACAAAGTGTCCGAACAGATGGACATGTAATACGAATTTCACCCCCTCCAAGAGGCGAAGAACCCCGTTTTAAAATCTATATAATATAAAAATATATAAAAAAAGCATAATTAACTTACTCGAAGTTCGAGTCCATCATTTATTCCAAATTTACGCATAATAGGAAGAATACCTGTTCGAATGACGTCTACCCCAACATCGTAATTATCAACAGTTAAGCCGGTAAACGTTAAGTCAAATGGTATTTTTGAAAATGGCAAAATGCTCAGTAATGGTAAAAGAAAATATCCTATTGATCTTGATGTTCCGCAATCATATGTAAATTTTCCTCCATGAATTTGACCTGGTTTAAATACAATAATTGTACCTTACAAGTCAGTCTTTAAATAAAACAATGGGATTCGTTTTTTTTTTGATAAAATACCTGTATATGAAATATTAATTTGTGAACCATTTGTAATTGTTTCTAACAAACGAAGAAATGAAATTTCATAATCTATAAGTTTAATGTTAAGCTAAAAGGTTTATTCCAATCAGAATATTAAATCTTACATACCTTGAAGGCCAGGATTTGTATGATCAGAACGGATCTTTTCAATTCGTATCATTTTTTTACTTAATAAAGATAATGTTAATCTTTGTGTGAAATATTCATGGCCTTGAAATCGAAGAATTTGAGTTCCCATATCATTTAAAACAAAAAGCTTAGGATACCATTTAATTTTTTAATATAAACTACTAATTTTTTATTGCTAATATAAAATATCAAGTTCGATAAAAAAATTGTATACTTTTATAAAGTTCTTTTAAGAATTATTGATTTTTTTTTTAAATAAATTGCAATACCAGATAAACATTTTTATTATAATTAATTATAATTACTTATTCCATGTTTAATAGCTATTTTTCAGGAAACATTAATTTAATTAAATTTTAAATTTTCAAATACCATAAAATGTTTTAATAAAAATTTACAATATATTAAATAATATTTCTAATTATAATTATTTTTATATTTTCTTCTTTTGATAGAATATAATGTTGTATTTTTAAGAGTTTATAATTTTAAAAAAAAATGATAATATTTATCTACCTATCTATTTCTTTTTTCACTTCTAATATTTAATTTTTAATAAATTTTTCCCTTCTTACTATTGTTTCTTTTTATTTTAAATCATATTTTCTATTTATATATTATTTTTTTTATATCTAATTAAACTAGAAATCTATTTAATTTAATAAAATTTATAACTTTTGAAAATAGAATATATTTAAATTTTATATTGATAAAGTAAGATTCTTAATAAAATATAAATAACATTGTCTATTTTTCTATTAAACATATTTTTAACTCCCCTTTCGCGAGCAGAATAAAAACGGTAAACTGGATAAAAAACATTGTTCCTATTAAAAATATAAAAAGTAAATAACTGGGAGGTATTTTTGATAGGACAAAGCATCTTAAAGACTATGGGAAATTCAGAAACAGAAGAAAAGCTATTAGATGAAAGCGAGTGTTCAGAAATTAAAGACTTAAAATCAGAAAAGAATCAAGATAATGAGATTGATAGAAAGAAAGATAACATGAAGATGGAAGGGAAAGAGACGGGGGTTTCTATTTATAATGTTGGGGATTTGGTCTTAGCAAAGATTTCAGGTTATCCTTGGTGGCCAGGAATGGTATTTATGCGTTTTATATTATTAAGCAAACTATAACATAAGATTAATATTTATTTATTAGGTTTTTCCAGAAGATATTGCACCTAAAGAGGTTATAGATGCACGGCCAGTGTCAAAAAAACGTAGAAACGGTATGGATGTTCAATATTGGCTTGTAAGATTTTTTCCGGAACCAGAATTGTAAGTACTAGATATTTTGTCTTTTTTTTGAAGGGATTTGTATGTATATTTACAGAGAAATTAGTATATGGGCTTCTAAGAATGATATAAGGCCTTTAACAATGCAGATGGTTGATGATTTTCTTTCAAGAAAAAGTACAAAAAAAGATATACGAAGAAGTTATGAAATTGCAAAAACATGTCCAACGGTTGAGGATTTGCTTGCTCAGCAATCCCTTGAGATGGAAGATGGATTGGAGAAAGATGAAGATGAAGATGAATTTAATGATAATTTAAAAGATGATAACATTGATGATGATGATGATGATGATGATGATGTGATAAAAGGAACGTTAAAACGAAGAATCGATTCTAGAAAAGGTGAAAATAAGAAAAGAAGACACGAAAATGACCAGAATAAAACAAAATTAAATAATAAGGCATTATTTAATATTACTAAAAAAATATATCTAATTAATTGATAGGAAAAGGCGATAACTGGTGATTCTCAAAAGAATTTAAATAAAGTTATGAATGGGAAAGTTAAATCAGAAGAAAATTCTATTAATTCTTCAGAGCAATCATTACAAATAAAATGGGAACAAAAAAGACAGCATGTTTTATTTTTTAGACATAAGTTGCAAAGGATTATGCTTACTAATGAAAGAATTCCCTCTGAGACTGTAAAAATTAATTTATTTATAATAATTTGAACTAAACGTATATAGGACATGTCTATAGTAAATGAACAGTTACAGAAGTTAGAGGCATTTAAGGGAATTGATGCTGAAATTTTAAGAGTAAAGTTTATTTCTTTGGTTTAAGATTGATTGATTTTTATTAAGGCTACAAAAATTGGAAAAGTTTTAAAAAGAATTATCTGCATTACAAATATACCTGGTGATGAAAAGTATTTTATTAAAGAAAGAAGTAGAAAATTGCTCGATTCATGGAAAATTATGCTAGAAAAGCCTAATGATATTGGTGAAGATCAAGAGGAAAAAGCCAGTTCTGAAAGAATATAGATTCTGATTGTCAGCCATTAAATAAGGATATCTAAAACATCTTGGAATTGGAATTTTATTGATAAAATTACTTCTGAGTTATACTTAAGTATAATTAAAAATTGTTTTACGAATATTGAATAAAAATTAACAATTTTTAGAATTTATATTAATAAAATTTTACAAATTAGTTGTATATGACATATCTATGTTCATATATTTCTATATATTATTTAATTTATTTATCTAAGGACATCATTAAAATGTAACTATAAATTTTATTATATTATTTTTTAAAGAATCAATTGACTTTCATTGTTTCTATTTTTAAACCTTAAGGAAGAAATAAATTAGTTTAAATTTCTATAACATTTTTAATTATTTTTTAAAGATTTTAAAATTTTAATGTATTTTATAACAAAAAAAGTAAATTATTTCACGTTTCAGAATATTTAAATATTTGCTAATAAAACTTATTAACAATGTTAAAAATGTTTTTATCTTTCAATTTATTAATTTTATATCTATTTGCTTTATAACATAAATTTATATCCTAGTTACTAGAATAAATATTTAAGCTATTTTGGATTTTAAAACTAAAAATTCAAAAATTTATCTAATAAAATATTTTTACTAATAATGAAAATTTAGTATTAACCTTATTTAAATATTAAAATATATGATACTATCAACATATGTATTAGAATTCTTTAAAAATAATGTTTTCTATTGATACGTATATACCATTTCACTAATGAGCAATGCTTTGATTTTATATCATAATATTTGCATTTATTATATTGTATTAATTATCAAGGTACCTCAATAACTTAAAACAATCATATCTTAAATGAATTTACTTTCTATTAAAAACATTTATTATTTTCAATTATAATGAAACCTTCATTAAGATATCTGAATAAAATAGTCCTTAATTCTGTTTATTCAATATCCTTTTTATAAACTTTTGCAAAATTTCAATTATTTAACGTAAAATATTAATAAATTTAAACATTCATATTATTTTTATAAATTTTAATTAAATAAAAATATAATTTTATATAAAATATTAAATAAAATAAAAAATCTTATACATAAAAAACATTTAAACGCTAATAATTGCCAGTAATTATAATAAAATAGAAACTTAATATTATTAAATTCTCCAAAAAACCATGCTTCTGAATTATATACAATAAATATATCAATTGATAATAAGCCCATCCAAATACTTCATTAAATATTTTGATTCATAGATAATAACATAAATATCTGTTATTTAGATATATAAACGAAATCAACTTATATTTTTTTAAAGGATTAGTCTTTTAAAACAGTTAATAAGATAGAATACCGAAACGTTAATGCAATAATACTTTCTTTATACCCAAACTTGTATTTCATGACGAAAAAAATGACTACATTCATCATCTTCAATATTTGGATAATATGGAACCATTGAATCTGCTTGTTGAACATACATATTATTATAAAGACGCCAATAAACATCACGAACTTTTCTACTTGGATGAAATAAACCCTGCAAAATATACATCATTAATATACCAGGCCCGATAGCAGTTCGAATACCGTCGATAGCGTTGATAACTAACATGTATTAAAATATTTCATAGAAATATTAAAAAAAAATACCGGCATTAATAAGATGAGGGGATTGTTCAAAAATATTTGGCCATACAGTATTTAATAAATGAATCATTGCATCTTCACAACCAAGACCGACAACGCCAAGAGACAGATGAGAAACAGTAGTAGCTGCTGTTTGTCGATGAACCTGATCTCTATCTGTTAATGCATCACATAACAAAGGCACAACTGCATATATATAATCCTTCCCCATTTCACCTATATATTCGAATAAGAAAGAAAGAGATTTCAAAACGCCATTCTGAACATTAAGTTCTATTATATTGTTAACCCTTAGATATCAGAATATACAAATTGTTACCTGGAACTCTGTATTCATTCATTACTGCAGGTAAAACAGTAAAAGGAGCACATGTTTCAGCTACGATAGCAATTGCAACAGTTGTACAAACACGATTTTGTCGCTCTTGAACCTTCAAATTATTAAGCAAAGTAGCTAACACATCCTGTGGACCAATAGCCTTTGCAATAAAACCAAAGGTATTCACAGCTGCTCGACGAATACCTTTTTTATGTGCTTTAAGCATGTCTAAAAGTTCAAAACATATTCTCATCCACTCACGTGCTGAAACAAATTCCGAACCACGATCAGCAATACGACCAACAAGATCAATAGTATTTTCTTGAACTTTCTCATGACGATTACGAAGAATAGGTGTCAATCTAGGCAATAAATCTTTAATTGGAGGTGTCATCGAAGTCATTCCAACAACATTTACAATCGACTTTAAAGCACCAAGAATAGATCCAAGAACTTCAGGATATTCTTCTCCTAAATATTCATAAAGTACCACGCCAAGTTTACCCATAAGTTGTTCTTCTCCACATGTTTTCATGACAACAGCAATACGAGAAATTAAATCTGCAGATTGCTGTCTTACTTTAGCAGACTTGTTATTTAATCTCCATAAAATTGTAGAAACAATCTGCGGAAGATATGGCTTACATCTCATGCCCAGTGCATTAACCACTGTTCCAAAACCATTCAGCATAACAACATCTTCCATAGATTGCTCTTGGAAAGCATACAAAACACCATCAATTAAACGTTCTTCAAGACGTTTATTAATGTCAACAGCGCCCAATCCTGCAATAATTTTTTCAATTGTTTCAACAGCCATTTTCCTATATGGCTCGCTTTCATCCTTTAAATGATCAACAATCTTTTCTATAATTTCTGTAACGCCAACTTTTTGGGCGAGCTCTACAGTTGTTTCAACAACTTGACGATAATTTCTTCTATCAAGAGCCATTCTTCGTACCCAAAAGTTTTTGAAAAATTCAGGCATAACTTCTACTCTTAAATATGTAGAATCTACGCCATCAGTAGCAGCAGATTGACTAACAACTTTCAAAACAATTTTTTTCATCTCTTCATCTGGAGATTGAAACTCTCGTATCAAGATTTTCATAATTTGTGTAGTATAATGATTTGCATATTCCGCATCCATTAATGGAATTATATAGCCAGTTGCTTTTAAAAATGCAGCAAGTCCTTTACCCCTATGTTTTTGAACGCCCTTCCATAGTGGACGCAAGACAATATCAAAAGATTCAAAACCATATGGAGCAGCAGCTTCTGCAAGGGCAGCAATAGCTAAAGCAGTAATAATTCTAACCTTTTGCTGCTCATCCTCTAATCCTCCTCCAATAGCATCTACTAGACTAGTCAAATGAGGTAAAATTGCACAACCCATAAGAATAGCTATTTGTTGAACTATTTTTACGCCAGTATGTCTTGCTTGCCAACTCTTTTTACTACGACAAACGGCTTTCAAAAAAGGAAGTAAAGCAGGAATCCCAAGAGCAGATGCTACTACTGAAAAAGCTCTTGCCGTAGTATTCCGAACATATTCATCAACATGATCAATGTCTGGGCGCATAGTAGAAATCATATGAGCCAACCCAGCTGCCTTCGACAAATTTGAAATAATTTCACGACCTTCTACACGTGCATAATAATCTTCATCAATTAATAAAGGCTCAATAACAACAAGAATCTTGTGAACATATGGACGCACAAGATCATCAAGCTTATATAAAATTCTATCAATAACTTTTACAAGAAGATGCCTTTCCTGATCTTCAAGAGTACGTTCCATTAACAAGGGAAGAATCTGATTAAATAAAGAACCTGCTCCAAACTCTCTTGCTTTATCTGTAATTTGTCGCAAAGCGGATTTCCTCATTGAAGGTGTTCCATTTTTAATTTTAAGTAATAATCGCATAATTTTTCGTTCTTTTAATTCTTCAACAGAAAGCTCAGATTCATCAGTAGAATCCATGAGTTTCCCAAAATACTTCATATCTTCTTGTTTAAAAAATGCAAGATCACCAACACCAGGAATATCAGTTGGTAGTCCAGCATTGAGCTGTTTATTAGCTGCGCTATCTACTTCCTGCATTGTAAAACCACCGTCATTAGAAAATACAGGTGTAGCCACAAGTTTCCTAAGAGGTGTTCGTATAGAAGCATATCCTGGAGGTGGATCAAGAACCTTAAATCCTTTTACAGGTAAAATTTCATCAAGTTCCTCATCAGAAAAATCATAAAAACGCTGGGAAACATCTGTCCCGAATGAAATAGGCATTTGAGGTATCATATTTGGCAAAGGTGTTTGCAAGCCTATATGAAAATTAATTATGTATAAAATAAAAAAAAAAATACCTTGTAAACCAATAGGTGTAATACCAATAATAGGGGTCTGATCCCATCGTGACTGTTTGGGTGTGGGTGCATCAGTTACAGATCCTAAAGCTACAGGAGCAGGTGTTTGATCCCATCTTGATCGTTTCTTAGTAACAGATGTATCCTGAGTATCACTCCAGCTAGATTTACTTGACGCCTCATCAGAAGATGGTTCAGAGGTATCCCAACGTCTTTTTCTAGGCTTCGATTCTTTATCTTCTTTATCATTATCACTTTGAGCTTCTTTTTTCTTAGCAATTGCACGATGAACTCTCTCTTCTTCTCTTTCAAGATCCCTTTCACGCATTATATCAGCAAATGAGCGACCTTTGTCTGAATCTCCGTCTTTTCTATCTTCAGAAAATGCATCATGTCGTGCAGGAGTAAGTATCTGATCAAAACGCCGTTTTTGATAATCTGATTCTCTACTCACAATTTGTCGCTTGCTTCTACTTTTACTAATAGGTTCAGAATCCTCATTAGTGAATTCATTTAAAAGCTGAGCAGGAACTGTGTATTGACCTGTGTAAATTAAATTTATTATTAAGAAAAAATAATTATAGAAATAATTATAACATGCCTACAAGTCTATGTGTCTCTTTTTGAGAATTCTTCTCATCATCATCCATATCAATGGGAATACTGGTGTTGTATTCAATAGAATCCCTATCATTGCTATATAAATTTTCATCATATCCTTTATCAAAATCAATTTTCAATTCTGTTTTTATTTTATCGAAACTAGAATTTTTTGAGGAAAAATAATCATTTTTTTTAGAATCTCTTCCTGATTGAAGGCGAGATACATCTTCAGATTCTGCATCAGACATAATTTTTCCTTGAATCTTTTATTTTCAAATTTTTAAATTTCGGATATTAAAAAAATCCAAAAATTTACGCCAAACCAAATTGTTTCTAAAAAATAACCAAATGTATATTTAAATTAAATAATTTTGATAAAACTTATTATTCTTTTTATAAAATTTTTATTGTAATATCTATAAATGTGATATTTATCATTAAAATTTATTATGACTTTTCTGTATTATAAAAATTTATACTATTTTATATGAAAAATTATTCATAAAATTGCATTTACATTTCAACACTTTAATATTATCTAAATTTTTTGTATTTAAGTCTTTCAAAAAAGTATTATATAATTTAACTAAAAAAATTTAAAAATATCTTTAAAAAAAAATTTTAGGTAAAATAATATTTAATAATATATAATATCTATATATTATATAATTTAACATTTTAACATTTTAAAATCATTAAAAAATTATAAATTACGAATTATTCGATGAAATTTATACACCTTAAAACGTTATAAAAGTATAAAAACATAAAACTTTTAAATAATTTGGATAAAGAAGGCCTTTATTTGTTTAATAAAAACTAAGCTATGTCTCAACGTACAGGATTTCGCCGTTTTGATGCATTTTCAAAAACAATAGAGAATGCACAAATTAAGACTATAAATGGGGGATTTATTACGATATTATCAATTATTGTAATTTTTGTTTTAATATACTTTGAATGGCGTGATTATAGGCAAATTGTTATATTACCAGAACTTACAATAGATCGTAGTAGAGGTAATCTTTTAAAAAATCATATATTCGCATGTTTTCTAATAGTATTTTCTTTTTTTTAGGAGAAAAATTACAAATTAATTTAAATCTAACTTTTCCAAAAATTCCTTGTTCTAGTATATATTACTAATTTATTTTTATATATTAAGGATTACTAGTACTTTCTCTTGATGTTATGGACGTCTCTGGAGAGCTTGAAACGGATGTTTCACACAATGTAGTCAAAAATAGGCTTGACAGCAATGGTATTTTTATTAACTCGACATCTCTTAATACACTTAATTTTCAGCAACCAGCTAAAACACGTCCTCCTGATTATTGTGGTTCTTGTTATGGAGCGAAGGAAGGTTGTTGTAACACATGTCAACAAGTAATAGATGCATATGCCTCAAATAACTGGCCTGTTCCAGATACAAAAGCTTTTGAACAAGTTTTTTTAACTTAAAATTATATTTATTATTAAAGGAAATTAGTGTAAAGAAAAATATAATAACTTGAATGAATTTGATGAAGGATGCAATTTCGTTGGGAGAATAGAAGTTAATAAAGGTATATTTAAGACAAATATTATTGATTTATTATAATTATTAATAGTTGTTGGTAACTTTCATTTTGCTCCTGGACATTCATCGCAAATTATGAGGAATCACATCCATGATATTTATGATTATATGACTGATTCATCGCCTCATGATTTCTCCCATACAATTAATAAGCTTAGTTTTGGTCCTGAAGTTGAAGGAAGAAGTTTACAGAACCCTTTGGATAATGTAAAAAAAGAAACAGACAACCGTTAAGAAACAGAATTATTAATTTAAAGTTACTGATGGTTATTAGCTACTTTAAGATATTCTTATTTTATTAAATGTGTTGCATATCGTTTCGAATATTTATCAAAACCCTCACTGGATACCAATAAATATTCAGTTACTGTCCATGAACGATCAATATCAGGTGATAGCGATCCTAATTATCCTACTCATATAAGCCCCAAAGATGGAATACCTGGTGTATTTTTCTCTTATGACATTAGTCCTATAAAAATTATTGAAAGAGAAACCCGAGGGAATTTTAGTACATTTTTAACAAGTACTGTGATTATTATCAGTGGTGTTCTGACAATTGCGGGAATCGTTGACCGTATTTTATATGAAACAGAACGTCAAATTGAAAAAAAACTAAGAGAAGGAAAATTTTTGTAAATTTACGATTTTTTTAACATTTTATAATAATAATAATGTTATAAATATGGCTTTTAAGAGCATTTTTATGAATATTTTTCTATTAGATCTAGGGCTAAAGTCATTATAATACGGAAGTCTTTGATTTTTTCGCTAGTTTTTATCATGGTAAAGTTATTGCTCACTGTGTCTATTTCTCCTTTTCCTGACGTTTATTCTGGTAACTGGATATTCCTTATCTATTTCTGTATGATCTGTAATTGATGAAAAGCGCATTTTTTATGTTTTTTTCTGCAATTTAAAGTAGTATAAGCGAAAATAGAGAGAAGAATGTGTTTAATGAAACTAAAAGTGCATATCAAACATTATTAATCAAGTATTCTTTGATTAAAAATGAAGATCAAAAAAAGGATTGATTATAAATCAATATTGAAAACAATGCAATGATTAAAGAAAAAAATTAAGAATTAATTATTTGAATGAAGTTATAAATAGGGAAGACTCTGGATTTAAGGATGATAATATAGTATTAAAAGTAGTAAAAGTTTGAAATGAATTGAAATAAATGTTAAAAGTCGATAAAATAAAATGTAATTTACATATTATTTTATAAAAAATAATTCAATAGGATGAGAAGAAATATAGAAAAAGGCAAGAAAGATTATTTAAATTTATAATCAAGATTTGTAATGGTTTTTATTTTTAATAGTTTTTCCTATTTTCTAGGGTTTATAGAAATCGTGAAATTTATCCCGTCTAAATAAAATCTATTCATGAAATAACTATCAAGCTTAATAAAGGACCCAATTTAGAAGCATATTGTTAATATTTATGCTATATATTGGGATCCAGAAATAATACAAGATGTTTTTTTCCATAATTAATAAAATTATAGTTCTAGGAATATTAATTTTAATTGGTAATTATATTTTGGATTATTTTTATTTTTAACTATTTATAGTTCCTACTTATGGCAATCAAAGTACACATTTGAAAACTAGAGATTCTAAAGTAAGCGTAGAAAATACGCCGTTTAAGGATTTTGTTGTTGAGGATGAAGATATCATTGCTTATATTTCGAAAGAAGATTATAAAGATAAAGATAAATGCGAAGCAATGCTTAATGAATATTGTGAAGAATTGAAAGGAATAGATTCAGAATTAAATAAAGTTCATAGTAAAGTTAAAGAAATTTGTAATAATGTAAAACAAAAATGCACAGATACGAAAGCAAAGATTCAAAAAAAAGTCGATGAAGCTCCAGATTTAGTCGTTAAGTATGTGCAAATAGACATCTCTTATAAAGAATGCGATCAATATTATCAAACATGTATGTTTTATGAAACTACAAAAGAGCCATATGTTTTAGATTTCTGCAATATCCTTAGATATTTATGTTATTTTTTCAGGAATACAGAGATGAGAAATGAAGTCATTCTTAGAGCTTTTCCTACTAGTATTATTGAATCTAAAGATTTCCAGGAAAAAAAGCAGGAAATTTGTCCAACATTGATTAAAAAGGGTGATGATCTAGCCTCATTATGCCTTAAAGATATTTCACTTGAAAATTTCAATAAAAGTATTGATGGGTTTTGCAATTCTTTAAAAGATCTCATTAATGATAATAAAAAAGAAGAAGTATGTCATGAAAAACTCGGAATATATCCTCTTCTCAAAGAGAGATGTAAAGAGAAAAACGAGAAATTGAAGAAACTATGCGAGGGAGAGAATATTACATATAGGCCTCCAGTTAAAAATTTTAATCCGATTGAGCAGGAAATGGCATTGTTAGAGGAGATTGATCTGGAAAATCTTTATAAAGAAGGAAGAAATAGAGGGCTAATTCTTGGAGCTTTAGAAAAAACGTTGGATGACATGTTAACCTTTTTGTCTCGGAGTATTAGCCCTGATGATATGGAAAAAAAATGCAATAACATACTAAATACTAAGTGTACTTATCTTAAAACTATAAGTTCTGAATTTAAAGAATTATGTGAAAAAAATAAATATCAAGAAAAATGTAAAGATATATCAAAAGCAACGAATAGGTGTACAAAGCTTAGAATAAGACTTTATCTAGATGGAACTTCTACAAAATTTGAAAATAAAACGGGATTATTGTCTTATGATGAGCTTTCGACATCATTTAGCGAGAATGAATGTTTAGAGGTTATCTCGGAATGTACGTATATTAAAGGATTATGCCAACCTGATATACTTATCGAATGCCAAAATCTAATGATTGCATGTCATAAAAAGAAACAAGATCTACTATTCATTAAATTAATTGGAAGTGAGTTGTACAAACTTAATAAATTAGAATCGAATGATGAAAGATTTAATAAATGCCAAAGAATAGTATTGGAAAAGTGCGCTACACTTGAAAATAATAATGTTGATATTTTTTTGAGATGCCTTCGGCCAAAGGAGATATGTCTTAGATTTGAAAAAATTATTTCGTCTCAATTGAAAGATCTAGAACAAGTTTTGAATGAAGTACGGGATTCTCCTAATGAAAAGGACTGCATTAAATTGAAAGAGGATTGTGAAGGTATTTTGAAAGATTTAGGTTTAAATAATGGGAAATGCGTTACATTGAAAGAGCGATGTGAATATTTTAAAGTTACAAAAGAACTGAAATGTGTGTTTTTCAAAGAAAAAAGTGATGCATTAGCGGATAATCAAAAATGTATGAAAGCTTTGAGGAATAAATGCCATAAATTATTTAGAAAAAGAAATAATATATATCATGTTTCATGCGCTTTACCAGAAGAAACATGTAGATTTATGGTTTCGGAAGCTAAGAATCATTGCAATATTTTTAAAAAGAACATGGAAAAACATGGAATTATTAATAAAACTAAAGATTCAAATGAAACATTGGTTGAAGAAACCTGCATGGTATGGGATCCATATTGTGATCAACTTATGGAGAATTGTCCAGAGACGTTAAAAAATAATTCCAGTAGCGCTGATGGGAAAGGAGTCTGTTTACAACTGAAAGAGAACTGCGAGCCATTCTGGAAGAAAAAACAATTGGAGGATGGGCTGACTCATGAGTTGAAAGGCACTTTAAACGAGAAAGAAAAATGTAAAGAAGCATTAGGAGAGCGTTGCGCTGAGTTGAAAAAGAATGAAAGATTCGGAACTCTGCTTAATAAATGTGAAGATAAAACTTTCGAAGAACTTTGCAAAAAATTGGTTGAAAAAGTACAGAAGATATGCCCTACTTTAAAAATCGAACTGGATAAAGCGAAAAAAGAATTGAATGATAAGAAAGATGAATACGAAAAGGCCAAACAGGTGGCAAAAGAATCTAGGAAGAAAGCTAACTTATTGCTATTGATACCTCGACAAACTGTAATGCCAAGTGCGCAGAATAGCAGTGGTTCTGTACCAGCACAGCCACCACTAGCACCTCCAGCAGCACCAGAAGCACCAGCAGCAGGATCATCTTCTACATCAAGTGGAACACCAAACGCAGCAGATGGAACGAAAGGGAATACAAAACTTGGACTTGTTAAAAGAGCGTATGTAGCTGGAGGAGTATCAGAAGCAGAGGTAAAGGCATTTGATGACACGGCAATAGCAATGGAGTTGTATTTGGAATTGAAAGAAGAATGTAAAGCTTTAGAATTAGATTGCGGTTTTAGAAAGGATTGCCCGAATTCTAAAGAAGTTTGCGGAGAAATAGACACGTTATGCGAAGAAATAAAACCATTAGAAGTTACGCCTTGTCATGCAGGGACAATAATAAAAGAAACAATGACAAAATTGCAAACGACGGATATATGGGTGACGAGTACGTCGATAGTGACGTCAACAGTCACGTCGACCTCAATGCGCAGGTGCCAACCTACAGAATGTATCACTGATAAAGGAGGAAAAGAAGAAGTAAAACCAAATGATGGGATGAAAATAAGAGTTCCTGATATGATTAAAATAATGTTGTTGGGAGTGATTGTTATGGGGATGATGTAAAATGAATGAAAAAAATGTTAATAGATTGAAAATGTGCATATATCTATTGTTTATATATAATAGAAATCTAAATGAATGAAATGAAGTTTTAATTATTTTAACATACAATCTTAATTCGAGACTATACTTTATTTGGTAAAGTTTAGACTTATCGCAGAGCTAGTAAAGCTTATGATTAATGATAAGAACAAGTCCAAGTTGTAAAAAATCATTTTAGAATAACTTTTCACTCACCTGCCTACATCCAACTTAGAAACTACCCACTAAACTCCCTACAAAGAGGTGGAAATGGAACGGCCGGTTAAGAAGCAACAACAAGTGGCACAAGTAGCACAAGATGAGATTAAGGAGGAACACCTTTTGGCTTTCATTGCAAAGGAGAAATATGAAGATGAACAACAATGCAAAACAGAACTCGAGAAATATTGTAAAGAGTTGAAGGAAGCAGATGAGAATTTCAAAGTGAATGAGAAAGTTAAAGAAATTTGTGGTAAAAAAGAAGAGGAAAGATGCACAGGCCTGAAAGCCAAAGTTAAAGATGAATTGGGAGATTTTGATACGGATCTTGAAGCATCGGTAGATGACATAAAAGATGAAGTTTGTGAAAAATATGAAGAAAAATGTATACTTTTAGAAGAGGCGGGTGATGATGATCTTAAGAAGAACTCTGTCAAGTTGAGGGAAGGATGCTACAAATTGAAGCGTGAAAAGGTGGTAGAGGAGCTCCTTTTCAGGACGCTCGGAGGGGATGCTAATGAAGTGAATAAATGTAAAGGAAAGATGAAAGATGTTTGCCCAGTGTTAAGCCGAGAAAGCGACGAGCTGATGTCTTTGTGTCTTAATCCGACTAAAACGTGCAAAACTATGGAAAGTAAATTAAAGGATGTTTGCAAGACTTTAAAAAAAGAATTGGATCAGAAAAATTTAGAAAAAGATTTCCATAAAAAACTTGAGAAATGTCATTTTTACGAACAAGCGTCTACTGATGCTAAATGTCAGGACTTTGAGAAGAAATGCAAGGAAAAAAATATTAGATATGAAGCGCCGGAATCTGATCTTAGTCCAGTGAAGTCGAAGGCATCGTTCTTGAGAAGTATTGGGTTGGATGATGTCCATAAAAGCGCAGAAAAAGATGATATTATTATTGGAAAAAAAGGAGTGGATGTACCAAGGAGGCTGGGTACAGATTTTCTGCAAGATCTCTTGCTAGCATTGAGCCAAGATGAGAATGTAAATGAATCAAGAATTGAAAGATGAACTTTTTATAATTTTAGTTCGCCATTTTAATTAGTAATTTAGCTTTATCAGGCAAAGTTTAAGTTTATCGAGAGGTAGTAAAGATTATGATAAGAACAAGTCTAAGTTTTCGTAGAGGAATAAGTGGACTATATTGTTTATTTTTAAAAAGCTACTAAACTTTATAATGAAAAAATTAATAAAATCTATTGTTTATCAAAAAAACCAATAAAATCTCTGATCATTATAAAAGAATTAATAAACTCTAAGTTTATTGCAAAAAAACAACTAAACTTTATGATTATCTTAAAAAAATTAATAAATTTGTTTATCGGAAATTAGTCTGTCGTTAGGGAGAGGCTAGTGGAGATTTGATAAGAGTAAATTGGAAGGAGTTTGATTGGAGATTAAAAGGACGGTTCAATTTAAAAGTATTTTAAAAGTATTTTTATTAAAAGTAACAAATTGGATAATGTTGAATTGATTTTTCATTAATTAGAACAAAAGACCAAAATTTAAAGATGTTTTTACTAAAAGTAAAATCAAATCAATTTTTATTTAAAAATAATAAATTAAAATGAAATTTAAAAAATTTTGTTAAAAACAGTAGATAATATCAAAATTTAAAGAGGGTTTTTATTTAAAATAAAATATTAAATTAGTTTTAAAGAATGTTTTATTAAAAATAACAGGGTTAATGGAGACGAATTGATTTTTATTAATAAAAAAGAGAGAAAAAACTAGATAGGGTTTTATTAAAGATAATAGATTAGATGAAAATAAATTGATCATTTATTAGTAAAAACAAGGGGACAGATTAGAGGGTCTTGTTGAAGATAGGGTTAGGATTAAGTAAGCTAAATTAATTTAATACTAGTTAAACTTTAAAAAAGTTAAGAATTTCTAATAGAAAGTTAAGATAAATAGTTTTTTTTTTTAACATTTCATCATGATTTTTAAGATACTCATTACTTTTTTCTTATATTGGATATATTTAGTTAGAGTAAGATGTGAAACGGTGCCAGTAGACTTTGAGAATAATGATTATTATCATTTTCATTTCTCAGAAGATGTTGATATTGAAGAGTTTTCGCGGGCGATAGGATTCAAATATCATATGAAAGTAGATCATCTGGATAACCACCATATATTTTTTATAGAAAAGGGTGTTTTAGAAGACGAAATTAAAGAAAAAATTGAGAATTATTTCGGTTTAGAAAAAGGAAGAAATGCAATAAATGGGTTTAATAGTGACAAGCTTTTTTATTATGAGAAACAGAAATTGGTCAAGCAAGAAAACAGGGGTGCGATAAGAGACGATATATATTTTGATAACCAAGATCTTTATAATGATGAAGTTGTCAATAATGTTGTAAAAGATCCGACGGGAGATGATCAGGCGGTAAATTCAACGGAAGAACAGGCGGTAAATTCAACGGAAGATCAGGCAGAAAACCCGACGGAAGATCTAACACAGAAGTTAAAGGAAATTAAAAAACAATTAAATATAACTGACCCTTGTTTTGATAAACAATGGTATTTGGTATAGCTTATTCTTTTTTTTTCATTAAAATCTGATTTTTTAATTAGTTTAATACGGAAAAACCTGGTGTAGATATAAATGTTACAGGTGTATGGTTACAAGGTTTGATATTTGTGTTGTTGATTGCCTTTTAATGATTTTAGGGATAACGGGAAAAAATGTAACAGTTGCCATTGCAGATAATGGCATAGATTATTGTAACCAGGATTTGGCTCCAAATTATGTTTGAAAAACTATTATAAAATCACTATTTTAACCTTTTTTCAGAATTCCGAGGGTTCATATAATTTTCATGCTGGAAATTCCGACCCAAAACCTGAGAAGCCTGATGAAAGTCATGGTACTAAATGCGCAGGAGAAGTGGCGGCCGCCAGGAATGATCTTTGTGGGCTTGGTGTTGCATATGAATCTAAGATTTCAGGTATTTTTCTTTAATTGCTACCAATCTAATATTGCTAAGGATTACGATTTATGACTTCTCCTTATGCGCTTCTTCTTGAGGGAGAAGCTCTTAAATATGAACCGAATCTTAATCATATTTATTCTTGTAGCTGGGGACCTCCTGATTATGGATATGTAGCTATGCCAATGATGCCTACTACTTATTCTGCAATTATTAAAGGGATAAAAGAAGGAAGGAACGGTCTTGGCTCTATATATGTTTTTGGAAGCGGAAATGGTGGATTATTGGATGATTGTAATTACGATGGATATGCAAATAGTCCATATACTGTTACTATCGCTGCTATAGATGCAGAAGATAAAAAATTTGATACTTCAGAGTCATGTCCTTGCATTTTGGCTTCTACATATTCTGGCGGAGAAAATGGATCTATTGTAATCTTTTCTTTTTTTTTTATAATAAATTTATCGTTTTAGTATACTACGGATCTTGGTAAGACAAATTGCACTACTCAACATTCTGGAACTTCTGCTTCTACAGCGATTGCTGCGGGTATTATTGCTCTTGTTCTTTCAGTGAAGTAAGAATATCATTAAAATTATTTAACTAAAAGATTAGTCCTAATCTTACATGGCGTGATGTTCAAGCTTTGATTGTGGAAACAGCTGTTCCATTTAGATTGAAGTATTATGATTGGGATGAACTTCCTTCTAAACGTTATTATAATAATTATTTTGGTTATGGAAAACTAGATGCATATAGAATGGTCGAAAGAGCAAGAACATTTGAAACATTAAATGCTCAGACAATGTTTTCAACTCGACTAATACAAGTTAATATGAAATTTCCTGAACCCAGTAGACGTATCAAGAGCAGTTTTTATATTCATCGTGGATATCCTGAGCATTATAACTTTAAAAATTTGGAATATGTTGGTGTTTCATTTTATTATCGACACCGAACAAGAGGTTATCTGCAGTTTAAAATTACCAGTCCATCTGGAGTTACTTCACTATTAGCACGTGTACGTATTCGTGATAATGAAAGTGGCTATTTTTCTTGGATTTTTACGACTGTAAAGCATTGGTATTTTGTTTCATTTTATAAAATAATAACTAATGATTTTTAGGGGAGAACCCATTGTAGGTACCTGGACTATCGATGTTACAGATAAAAATAACTGGAATGAACAAGGTTATATTTTTAATTGGCAACTTCATTTTTTCGGAGAGTCTATTAATTCAAGTAAAGCACTACCTCCTCCATATCCTTTTGTGCATAAACAACCAACTACTATGCCTCCGCCAGAACCAACTACTACGCTTCCATCAGATCTAGATGCTAACCCTCAACCTCAACCAGATCCTGGGTCTCCGCCTTCATCAGATCCTGAGTCTCCGCCTTCATCAGATCCTGAGTCTCCGCCTTCATCAGATCCTGGGTCTCCGCCTTCATCAGATCCTGAGTCTCCGCCTTCATCAGAACCTGGGTATCAACCTCCATCAGAACCTCCGCCTCAGCCTCCATTAGATCCTCGGCCTCCATCAAAACCAGATCCTAACCCTCCATCAGATCCTAGCTCTCAGCAAGATCCAGATACTTCGCTTTCATCAAATCCAACTTCTACATCTTCATCAGAACCACCACCACCGCCACCACCACCTGCACCTGCACCACCTGCACCTGCACCACCTCCACCACCTGCACCTGCACCACCTCCACCACCGCCGCCACCACCACCTCGGCCGGAACCAGAACCAGAACCAGAACCAGAACCAGAACCAGAACCAGAACCAGAACCAGAACCAGAACCAGAAC